CAGCAGTCATCGCTGTGTCAGCAGGCTATGTCCATATGAGTAAGGTGAGGTCTTCCTTTGCCTTTGTTATGGTTGTCAAAGCAATATTGTCGCAAGTCGGACGAGAAAATCGAGGCCTCGGTTTGCGGCTCGCATGAAAGCGCAAGACGCGGCATGAGTATAGCAATGGTTTGACGGTGGTTCGGCCTCAAGCGATTTGCAAATGACAGGTCGCATGAGGTGGACTGTGATGGAATAATGTTGCAACTTGTGTTTGGCATGTTTGTGGCGGCATCCCTTGAGCTTGCCTACTTTGTTTCTTGCACTGATACGCACAACTATTGCCCTCGTGCCGCCTACCCGCTGATGCCAGGTGGACTGTCCTAGTGAAGCCAAGGACTTCACGGTGAACGGGACGCTGGCGAACGTCGTAAGTCATTTCGCGCCTACATGGAGCGACCCCTCCTGCGCTTCCACGGCCGATGGAAAGAAGACGGTGTCCTTTCTCCTAAACATCGTGTCCTGTGTTCTCGCACTCCCGCCGGAGAGTGCACCCGTTCTGTCGAACCTGGACGAGCGGATCCTACCAGCCTTTTGTGCGCTTTGCTCGGCCGAACCAGAGCTGCGTTACATGTATCCCAAGGTGGCCGGCGCTGTAGTAGGCGCAATGCTGGAGCAGAAGACCATAAGGGACCTGTTTCATTTGGCCGACACGGTGGGTGTGGATGTCGAATCTTGTACCAGCCATGAGGCCATGGTGCAAGTTCTGTTATCGTCCGGGAAAGCACTCCTTCCTGGCTCAGTGCCAAATGCCACAACGGACCGCAGTGCGCTCATGGAGTTGTTCAATGCCACGAAGGGCTCGTCGTGGACAAACAAGACGGGTTGGGGAACATCTGCTCCTCTCCAACAATGGCACGGAGTAACTGTGGATGGTGCAGGCCGGGTGACTACTCTGAAGCTCGGATGGAACAAGCTTTCAGGTGTGTCCAATGCTTGTGTCGAGAGTCCGCCCCAGCCCGTTTTTACGAAGGTAGTATTGTTACGGAATTCCTTCCATCTGCGAAACACTTCCGTGGTGAAGGAATGGGGTGAAGAACGGTTCGTCCCAGGGTCGGCAGGCAATTCCCGGACGAGTTTGGATGTTGGTATCGTGCTATGTAGAATCAATGTTGAGGGTCATTTTCGAGGTTTGCCAAGTGCAGAGATTTTGTGTGAAGTCAAGACCGGCGTCGAACTCGAAGGTATGATACACCGAAGAAGTCTTAGGGTGCTGTTGAAGAAGGTCCCCTCGCAATGGCACGATGGCTTGGACAAGTACATTGCAGCCAACGCGGTCCGACGTATATTCACTCGAGTGTTGATTCAAAACATGTTGCAAATCAAAAGACTGGGTAGATTCGCTTGAAGACTCCTTGGTGGAGAGTGAGATCCAGCTCGCATCATACATGCAAGCCATCAACGGGTGCAAGGATTGAAATACCGCTTACCCAGGGATTTTGATTTTTCAATAAAACCGCGAAATCCGTTCTGTTTACAATGTTGAGGATTGCTGATGATGGATGCGAGGGAGTCAGTAAAAAGCAGCAAGTAACAGCAGCGTCGTCATAGCGTACTCGTACATAGCGTTCTCAATACAGGCTGGTTCAGGGAAATGGATACAACAAGATTCAACAGCAAAACTTCACGCCATTTGTAGGAGTTAAANGTGAGATCCAGCTCGCATCATACATGCAAGCCATCAACGGGTGCAAGGATTGAAATACCGCTTACCCAGGGATTTTGATTTTTCAATAAAACCGCGAAATCCGTTCTGTTTACAATGTTGAGGATTGCTGATGATGGATGCGAGGGAGTCAGTAAAAAGCAGCAAGTAACAGCAGCGTCGTCATAGCGTACTCGTACATAGCGTTCTCAATACAGGCTGGTTCAGGGAAATGGATACAACAAGATTCAACAGCAAAACTTCACGCCATTTGTAGGAGTTAAACTCTGAAACTTTGCACACATGTACCTTGGGTCATTACGAAACGCTGTGTGGAGGGGCTTTTTTTTTTTCCCCCTGTCGCCGGATATCCGGGGTCCTAGAGATTTCGGGGTCGTGTGCGGCTCCTGGGACCCCGAATAACCGGCGACCATGGAAGGAAATGAAAAAGGCCTCGCCGCACAGCGTTTCGTATTGACCCAAGGTATATGTGTGCAAAGTTTCAGAGTCTAACTCCCAGAAACGGCGTGAAGCTTTCAGCTCCTATGCCATGCAGTATTTCGCATCCTGGATTTCTCCAAACTACTTGATTAAGGTATGGAACGGCGAAATTCAGGTTCTTTTGACGCCCAGACGACCCCATTTCATCAGTTTATCGAATTAGTTCATGAAAATTCATAGACACGGTCTTTGGAATATATAAGGTAAGGTGGAATCAAGAAAACACAAAAGCACATATTGGGACAGATTTTTGGGGTCCCGCAAAAGAGGCTATCTCCAACGCAGTTTGGCCCACCGACGGCAGGTCATAAATCGACCATTTTTCAACCGTATTAGGCCAGTTTATGGGCGATGTCGACGAAACTCCATGCGAAGCTTCATTGCACTGTAACGGTGTCGTTGACGGTGTCGTTGGTTAGAGAAAGAATCACAAACAGCCATGTTACCGGCATGTTGGGGTCTGCAAGAATCTACCTACATATTAGACGGAGACACCGATCGTGCTGCCCGGAAGAGAGATTTTTCATCATCGCAACGCGGCCTTGTGCCAGCTGAACTGGGTGATAAAACACTGTTGATTCATGCACCGAGAACGCAAACATGCCAACATGCATGGACCGGTTTGCTGAGGGTCACACTGCGGCCGCTGCGTGTGCGGCGAGAACCTCCGGAGGGTCGGCCACGCTCATGTCGCTCGTGGGTGCATCAGTCACCGGGGGTGGCTGCTTGTGAGGCTCCAGCAGCGTGACGTGTTGTGGAGAACATAGCCACGGCCTGTGCGTCCATTGCAGCATCCTCCTGGTCGCACTCTGCAACCCGCCGCTCCATGTATCTCCTCCGCTGTTCTGATTTGCGATCGCGCCTGACGTACGACCTTTGCCGGCGCCCGAGTCCGGCGTTAGGCAACCTGCTGCCGCGTAGGCGCATCAGGATTCTGACCTCCTGCTGTAAACCCCTCAAAGCTCTGGCGCGTTCCGCTTGTTTTTGGATGGCACACTTCTTGGCGACTTCGCAGTTCGGCGTCGTGCCTGAACACCGGTGGGGGGTAATTTTAACGGAGGACAGACCGGAACATACGGCGATAGTATGGCTGTTAATTAAACTGTGCGATAGAGCTTGGATACAAGGACTGTGTCTTGGTAGAAAAAAACAAAGAGCGCCTGCTAGAGGACCGTTACTCAAATTGAAGGATAACCCGTGAATGTCAATCCTTGTTCTCTGCAAAACACACAGCCTCCCGTCCTGCAATACGGCAGCCCCTCTAAGCCAATGTTGGTGTCTGTGTTTATCTGTGGGTGCGGTATGCACTTGTGTCGGTTGTTGCTGGACGCGACTTGTGAGTGTTGGGCACCTTGTTTTTGAGACGGGTTGCATGTATACAAGTTCGGGCCTGACTTGTACACAATGTTTTCTTGTACAATTGCGTGCTGCTGCTGTATAACCTGGTGCGTTCTATAACATAGAGGCAGTTTGTAAACACGAGTTCGGATCTGGCGTGTATAACCACTTTGTACTTCTTGTATGTACACTTGCGTGCTGCTGAGCACTGCTGTGTTCTATTATAAGTACAAATTAGAGATGGGTTGTACAATACACTATACTATTTGTATCAATACAAGTAGAACTGCACTGCTGCATGCTGTACAACTCGTCTACTGTTCAAGATTGTCCGATGCAAACAACGGGATTCGTGTCAAGGTTCTCCAGTACATACATATGGATGCTGTTGTACTGCAACTTGCCGTTTTTTCACACAGCTCCACTTGTCATGGAAAACACGCACCAACCATACGCATGAACGCCGGCTAGTGTTGTTGCACATGTCACCACCATGCTAGCAACGCGCCCGCCTGGTTGCTACTTTGCTGCATGTTTCAACCCACCACGGAGTACACACCCTGCCGCTTTGCTGCTGCTGCGGTTGTACAGCAGTACTGCTGTACAGCAGTACCTACGTGCAGCAAGATCCGCTCAGCAATCGTAGACTCACCGTGCTTGGGCGACAAGCTCCGCCTTCGCATGGGCTTCTCCAGCTCACTTGTCCAGTTGTCCGCGTCTCCGAGCGCTTCCGCCTTCGTCTCATACTTGAAGGCGGTGTTCTTGCGAATGCCTGTGGCATGTGGCCGTGGGTGATACGTGCATCTGAGCCTCCAACGCTTCGTGTGCTGCACTGCATTGCGCAAACGTGCGATACTTTGCGTTTGTGGGTGTCAACGTTGGGATCCACACTTTGTAGTGGCTCCATTGTGGAGGGTCTCCTTGCGTACGAGACGCGTGTGCAGAGGTACTCAGCTGGTTGTACAGCAGCACCGGTGCAGCAGGAGCTGCGACAACGGCTGAGATTTTCAAAGAAAAATGCGGCGTTATTATGTTTTTTGTCCCCGTTTTGGGAAAAGCCTGCATATCATCGAAATATTTGGAGGCTCCTCATCGGCTGAGGCACGTAATTAGTAGCCCATATCTTCCCAGCGAAGCCTTAAATCAAAGTTCCGGCCACGACGATTTGTTCCTTTACTCGTGGGGGTCACTATAATACTGCGTTTGTCAACGTTATGTACACAATTCGTCTGGCAGGAGTGGTTGAATAAATTTTGGTCCATTTCCCTGAACCAGCTTGTACAGACGTCGACTTGCGTAAGGCTCTGACAACGTCTAACAGTCTCTGTTGTACATCGACCCTGGACCTTCCCCATCCGTCCACAAAGACAACGTGTTTGTTCATGGTCGAGAGGACCGAACGTGGGTGATTTGGTTCGATTCCCACATATGTCGAACGTATCAAGGGTTGCAAGGGAATAACACCGATATTGTTTTGCCGATCGTACGTGCGCCGATTTCCCCACCCGCTGTTGCCCCAGGGTTCTCCATTGTGAGAATGCCCAGTGAAAACATGCACATTTGCAAGTACACACGACCGCTGTCAATCGTTAGCCTATCACGAGCATCATATCAAAGGTCCGCCTTCCAAGACCGAGGTGGTCCTTGGTAAAGGCAATACTCCGTAGTATATCTTAAACCCCGTAGGTTTCGGCCTCAAACGCTCAAAATGTTTCGGACATCGCCCCCCTCATAAATCGTCCTTCAACCCTCTATCACGAGTTGCAACGAGCTATTGACAATACTTCTTTTGCCGAGAGGTTCCCCTAGCTGAGGCTGTGACCCCGAGCGCCGCTCCTGCACGACGTGCGCCCTGTCGATACAGCCATCTCATCGCGACCTGGATGTGGACGCACATGAACCACACTTCGATGTCGTCACCAGGCGCACCCTCCCCGCGGCCATCTACCCACCGCAAAGAGAACGCGAACAGTACTATTCCTAGCTGAAAAGGAGGCGGACAACAATGTGGCACAGCGGAAATTCTACGACTTCTTCACCACACAAAAGATTTCCGGCAGGATCATGAACCCGAGAGTCTGGGCTCACCGGATATCTACAATGTAGCGAACTAGACTATACTCTCGTGCATTGGAGGTTGCTCAAGGGTCTACACGACCATCAGGCGAACGTCAAGATCGAACTGAAAAGGCAAGGCGTGAGATGTTTTGCCGGAGGGGGGCAAACTCATGTACCGACGGCCGACGACCATTTTATTAGTTCCGCGAACTCTTTCACTCCCGCGTTACGAAGCCCTTGTAAGTCCGGACAGACGAGTAGGATGACAGAAACGTACAACTTAAACATGCGCGAAGAATAGCTGCGAACAGTACCAGCGCTCGTGTCTCCCACAATTGTTTTGCGACGATGAACATACTACGGCTTGGACAAGTACAAGGATTTGGCGTGCAGAGGAATCAGGTGCTACGATGGTGCACACTGTAAGTCGCCGAAGGCTTTGGGCACAGAAATGGAGTTGCCGCCGCTCCTGCTTGTTGCGGTTGTAGAACCGTTACAAGCTCTATTCCCCCCCTCCTTGACACTCTTCACGGCCACGATACAACGGTCAGTTGCGAAGAGCTAACCCACAGCAAGGCGCAACGGAAGTAGAGAACACGTACAGTAGGTCGAAACTCTGGTGAAGATTTTGTTGAAAATTTCGTACTCTAGACTTACACAAGCGGATCTAGGGTGAAAGGCAACTACTGGAACTTGGTAGACTCAGCAGCGAAGTTTGATGCAATCGGAGTTTCACTGCAAGGAATGTGGAAAAGTTAGCACCCAACGATTACAAGCCCGGTGAATGCAGGGTAATGGTGACTTTGGAAGGTCGTGAGAGGTCCGGTATCTACGGCATCGTGTTGNTTACAACTGTCGGCATATGCCCTACTCTAT